TTTTCGCAGAGAAAGTGGACAGGTAATGTTCGAGCAGGTGATTTACCGGAGAGACTAGTCTTTCTTTCGATTCTTCTCTATATTTCGCTTATCGTTTGTCACGGTATATAGCTGCGTGCACCTCTGCGGAAATATCCTGCACGTGTAGCAATTCTAATTCGTTCGTTCTTTTTTTCTTCGTCTCGTTTCAACGCGCGACGGAGGAGATGAGAAGTTAAACGGTAGATTCTCTCTCTCTTTTTTTTTTTTTTTTTTTTTTTAGGAGAAGAGGGATCCTTTCTTCGTTCTAAATCGGTATAACTCGCTTACAGCTTAGCCTAACTACCTATTATAGTTCGCTGGCTACCGGAAGAGCTCCTTTAATCCTCGTCACGTTCGTGTAAAGGGGTTGGTTGGTTGGTTGGTTTGGTGTGGTGGAACGTGCCAGTTCCTCGCGCACACGCGCACACACGGCATCATAGATCTCAAACGTAAACAATAGGCACACGTATATTACGTACGTAACGTACAAACATGTGGGGGTATGCATGAATGCATACGCGATAATACGTATGAATAAATGCATATAGACACTATGGAATATATCACAACGATAAAACGCTAGTTCCTTTTCCCTTCTCATATTATTTTCTCTGTTAATTATTATTATTATTTCTTTCCTTTTTTCTTCCTCGCTATATAATAGAGACTCCAAGTAGATAACGGATGTACAATTATTATATAAATTGCATAATAATGCTTCCGGTGGGGCGGACGTGGAAGTATCGTCGATATACTTACAATATTACATCATTGTTTTTTGGTTTTCCTTCATTTTTTTCTTTTTTTCGCTTTTAATACGTGCAGAACGAAGAGACGAACGAGGGCTAAGAATGTTAATTTAACGTCCCGTTACCAACCCTCGCGGCACCGGAATCGATTCCGTCTCGCCCCCTCCCGCCCCTCCCCCTTTATGTATACATATATATTTCTCTCTTCTTCTTCACTGTCACGCCCCGTTTGGTGCGTGCGGTGCTTCCCCACATTTTCTTCCGTTTCGTTTCGTTTATCCGCGACCGAGATCGACGCGGGAAAACCCTCCCCCCGGCGCGTCGCCATTCACACAAAACGCAGCTTTTCTCTCTTCGATCACCTGGCGAAACAATCACCTTAGCCGTAACGATAACGAACGACGCGCCGCGTGGTTAATTAAGGGCGGTTTTCCTGGGGCGAGCGGGGGCGAGCATTCGTTTTTGTATCCTGCGGGTTTCTCAACCCCGGGGGTTTCTTCTCCTCTTTTTTTTCGCTTCTCCTTCTTCTTCCTCGGGGGGTGGAACGGGACGACCAAACACGAACTTCCCTCGGCCACTACTTCTTCCGTATATATTTCGAGGAGGATGGCCGACCAAGGAGATCCTCGAGCAAGATTACCTACTTTTATAAAGAATTCTCGCTAGAGCACCGAGGCGCAAGAAGCTCCTTATTAAATGCACAATGAGCAAGAGCGTCTGGCAAACGGACTGTTTGGCGATTGTAGATGAAGAGAGCGGCGGAGAGCGCTTGGAATAGTAGCAGGGAAGAGAGACGAAACTCTGCGAACCGCGGCTTGGGGGGTGGAAGCTGCCCGGAGTGAGACAGAGACGAACGTATAGAAAGAGAGACGGAGGAAGGGTGGAGTAGGGGATGGATATATAGAGAGAGGGTGGGTTGGGCGTGTCAGCTGGTCGATATCCTGAATGGCAAGCTTCCACGACCCAGTCTGCAGCCAGCAACCACGTTGGAAGAGACAGAAGAGACCGGAGAGAGAGAGGGATGACGAAGAGGGCGAGGGAGTTGGAGATGGAACAGAGATAGAGAGACAGAAGAAGAAAATGGGGAAAAAAGAGAGAACGAGAGACGCGTGCACGTTTTGTATGCGTGTATGCGCGGCGGCGTAGGGGGTTGGAATCAAGAGAAAGATTCTCGCGTGTTGGTGTGCGCGAGAATCTGGCTTGGTACGGGTGTGGTTGAGGTCGCGTCCGTGAACGTGCTCTCCCCTTCGTCCCCCTTTTCTTCCCTCCCCGCAACCGCGCACACAAGCGGATGGAAAAACGCGAGCAGCCTGCATGGAGTATCCAAAAGACGGAAGTAGAACGGCATACAATTGGCGTTAATTAACTCAGCAAAAACGTACCGACGGAACAGCTACCGGGGAAGACGAAGGGCCTCTCCACGGAAGGACCGCGCCGCGGTGTACGTGTGTTCGACGGTAGAACTAATCCACGCGCGAGGATAAATGCGTTCGCGGCTCCGTTCTCTCTCTCTCTCTCTCTCTCTCTCTCTCTTCTTCTCGTTGATGCTCTGTATCTTTCTCTCGCGTGCGTTGTATGCCAGCTGACGAATCGTCGTGGCCCGCTATGCTCGCAATTTCTCTTGTTCTTTTCTCGATAGGGACGTCACCGTGGCTCGAATAGGGGAGACAAGAGCGCTCGCTCGCGTTCGCGACAAGGGATGATTCGTCGCGAACTGACGTATATTTAGCGTGGAGAACTATACACGGTTAGAAGAAAGACTCGTTGAAGGGGTTGTGGTAGTTTCTCCTTT